ACAAGAGTGCCCCAGAAGAGTGTCCCACAAGAGTGTCCTACAGGAGTATCCCACAAGAGTGTCCTACAAGAGTGTCCCACAAGAGTTTCCTACAAGAGTGTCCCACAAGAGTGTCCCACAAGAGTGTCCCACAAGAGTGTCCCACAAGAGTGTCCCGTAAGAGTGTCCCACAAGAGTTTCCTACAAGAGTGACCCACAAGAGTGTCCCACAAGAGTGTCCTACAAGAGTGTCATTTGGACATATGTAGCTTTTGGAACGTGTTTGCATTCGGGTTCGTGGGCTCCATCTTGTTTTGGTCAAAAAGAGTCCCACTCACTCAGCACTCCAATGTTGTTTCGATGGCAACTCCTGTCCTATAGACTATAGATGCATTTAGGGATGAGCAACATTGAACAACCACACTGGATGGTGGCAACCACCACAGATTCGTCTTGATTCGTCTTGTCTGTTTGGTCCTGCGATCCCATGCGGCTCGGCAAGGCGCGATTGCTGGTGGTCTCCTTGGAGGGTGCGGCGTCCGTCGAGTGAGGTAGCTTGCGGCTTATCCCAGATACAACACATGGGACTGCCATATATGCCAATCAATTGACCCCCAAACCACCCTAATGTAGGCAAATATGGCATACATGGAGTATCATGGAGTGTTTGGGTATGGTTTTTCTTTGTTTTCCTGTGTTCATAGATCTTGGGTATATATCTCGTTGCCAGGGCCCAGTGGATGATGAAATTGGGTTGCAAACCTTTAACCCCAACATAGTGGTCACCTTACCGACTGTTACTGGTAAATACTCATGAAGAACAAAAGATCAAGCTCATGGTGGGAAAGATGGTGCAAGTGATCTTGAGCTGAAAGGAACTAATTGCTGGATGAGTGGACTGGATGACATGTTTTAGTGGTTTCAGCAATGATAGTCCAGCAATGTCCTTCTTTCACTTTCGAGCGGATGTGTTTTTTGGGTGTTTTGCTCTGACCTGCGAACCACAGCCCTCCTCAAACGCCTAGCCTACGTCAAGTGTGGCGAACCAAACGCGAAGGAAGGCACCGACCGGTGACGTCTCGACCCAGCCGAGAGCGGCATCGAGGCCGGTAAACCAGGCCGACTCCATGGGACTGGTCGAATAGACCGATGGACATCAGCTGGGGTGGTTCACCGGAAATCAATGGATAATATATCAGTGGACATCGTGTCTGGGTCATATAACCTGGACCCGACTGACCCAGTACCTTAGAAAATGGGACATGACGTCCATTAAAAGAAAAAAAACATGTACGACTGTACAACTGTACCCATTGAACCCGAGGTACGAGTTCCGGGTCGACTCCAACAAACCACTCTTATGAGTTGGAGGCTTGCAGGATCCAAGCACCTCAAACAGGGAGGGTCACGACCTGAATACATGCATCCTGCAGTTCCATGGACAGGTGGTTTTTCAAGGGGGACCTATCCAGTGGATGCACCCGCGACTTCCTCCAACCATTCGGCACCCAACATGGAACTGCTGGATCATGTGACGTGTTTGGAAAAACAACGACAAAGAACAAGAATCCAGGAACTAGCTTCTTCAAAGTGACCTAGCAACCCTTTAGAGGCTCACACTTCGGGGCAGCATCTAGGATCTCAGATGATCTCAGGTCACTTTGAAGAACCAGTGGTCCTTTGCACGCATCAATATTTCAGGTCACGTAGTAAGCCTTCCGCAGCTCATCTTTCCCCACCGCGTCCAGCGCACGGTGGTTTGGGAAGGGCCCCGGCGAGGGGTACAAGGGCGGCATGGCAAGCGGAGCCGAGCCAACGGTGGACACTGTTGGAAGAGAAGTTGGAGGAAGTGGAGGAGGAACATGTTATGGCGCCATGAACTGTTCGTATAGGTTTAAACCTCTTGGGCCAACCTGTTGAGGCTTGCTGGTGGAATTGGTGTGTGAGATCGATGTTTCTTCAAGCGACATGTGCCTTCAAGTGACATGGATGCGAACTGCAGTTGCTTTAGTTGTATGGAACCTCTGCAAAAACTCCGTGCTGCCCAAGGTCCGATGTTCCACAGCGCTTTCCGGACCGTTCCGAAGCGGTGGTTTGCCCGCAGGCGGTTCCGGCTCGACAGCTTCGCTTGGCATGCGGTTCAGAACTGGATCGAACCTCGCCGCTTTGGTCTTCTCAAGAAGCTGTCGCCAGCTAGACAGCTTCGCCTCCACAACGGGGGGGGGTTCTGGATTCTCCACCTCGCCTCCCCCGGCCACCGCTCGGACCCCGGAGGACGATCCGCGCGGGTCGTGGTTACGGGGTCGCCTGCATTCCACGGAGGGAAAGACAAAGGAACCTCTTCCGGTGTACCTGAGCAGGTGAGGGTGTGTGAAACACCTGAAGAAATCGTGATAGAAATTGAAATCGTCTGCACTAATGGCCACACTGCAACTTCGATAGGTCAGGTATAGGTATGTTGTGAGAGTGGAATCTTTAAGGGATCCAAGGAGTCTTGGCTAGTCTGCCTACTGAGTCCGCACAAATTCTGCCGAGATCTGTGGAGAAGATTTTGGCTGTCCCCGAAGGCATTGGTGATGCTTGTGATGATCCCTAGGGCTCCAACCATATCCTCAGAAGGTGGTTAGACCCCCCAAATCCACCCCAACCACCTTCGAAACGGAGGTAGGCCAGGAGGCCTAGGGGATGTCTTTGGTGCATCAACTTCGTCCGTGGTAGCGAGACCCTCGATTCCCTTCAAGTGTTAGACCATACAATACTGTCTTGCGGATTCATCTTCATCTGAACTGTTTGGGGCCACTTCCAGCATGTGCGGTTATACTTATTGAGTCTCAAAGGTGTATCTCGCACCCTCCCCCCACGACCAAATTACTTCATTGTAGAAACAGCGATCCAAAGTCGTATATTAATAATTATACACCTATTACCCCAAGATACACCAAGTCTTTGTGTCACACACAGCCACTGGATGCTTGTCTCTGGGGTCATGTCATGTGTGTTTCTTTTTGTCTTTTATACGGCGCGTAGCGTCTCCATCTCCCGCGCTGGACGAGGGGCTGGTGGCTTGTTCCAGTCTCACGGCCAGCAACGGCACACAGGTGGCCAAGGTCACAATCCGCCTGCCACGGTCACACCGGTCGCGCGGCGACCCGCGGCTCCGCCGCGGATCCGCGGTGTGACCGGGTGCTTCTCACCGGAAGACGGTCGATCGACCTATGGAGGACGCCTGGTCGACATTGCAGGTGAAATTGAAAGGATACGACCCTGGAGCAAGCTTGATGATAGATATGATAGATAGATACAGATAGAATATGATAGAATCGCTAGCAGTAACAAGTGCATCGCTAGTAGTAACAAGTGCCTTACTAGTAGTAACAAATTTGAATTAATTTTATGGATTCTGGCCCATAGGGCTCCAACATGCTCCTGGCCACCCACTCCGTTGCGGTTCGGTGGTTGGGGTGGGGTGGATGCCAGGGGGGTCGAATACCACCGGTCACCTGAGAATATGCTTGGAGGTCTATTTGGTGCCCTCAGAGAGAGTCTCATGGCAAAATGTACGGGCAGGGATTCATCCTACCGGACGCTCCAAACAGCCCGAATGGTCCCTCAAAACCTAGGGATTTGAGCCCCCAGACCCCTCCATATGAGGGTCCGACCCCTCTACATGGGGGACCATGAGCCTTTGGGTAGTGCAATAGCTCGATCTTAAAGTGCACTAGATCGATCGAACCGACCGACCGAGCCCCTTTGCTCTAGGGAAGGAACATCGATCAAGACCCAGTAAGGTGGGGTTCTTCCCAGTAAAGCACAAACACATCCATGCCCATATCATATCCATACTATTCTCACTCTCAGAATGGAGACAGGATGAGACAAACATACACAGGCTAAAGGCACTGACAAGCGCAGCACGTGACAAATGACATGAAGAATGGCTTCCTCGTCGGGTGTGGGTCAAAACCGGGCCTTGACCACAGAACATGAACAGAATAGGCTACCGTAGCCTACCTGGGAGGTCATGGCGGCCCCTGGAATAGGCTCCGGGTGCCATGACACAGCAACGCCTCACCACTTCGACTCAGTCGGTGACTCTTGACTTGGATTTGCGGTCCATGATTAAACAGAACATGTTCCCAAGTTTGGGGCTTCACTTCACTAAGCACCTGATCAACAAAACCGTTGCTGAGGCAATCATACCAGCACCACCCGAACTTCGGGTGGGTGATTCTTCTTTTTCAACCCCCCCATCAGATCCGCGTGTCTTCCATCCAATCACCATCGGAAACGGGGTGGTGCTGCTAGTTCGCTCAAATCTCACTCACTCACCAAATATGGCATGAACATGCAATGTATGTCACCTTAGTAACCTTTTTCTTCTCCCGTTCCCCGATCTCCGTGTCCCCAACCCCCGAACCCCGAAGCCACCGCCCCTCGCGCTCTCCGCTTCACCTCGTCTCCCGCGAGGTCCGGTTCGCGCCTCACACCACACAGGTCGGCCACGAGCGTGACACGACCGGCACCACGAGCGAGGTCCGTCCCGGTGTGCCAGCAAAGGTTGAAGAACCCGAACTAGACTATCCTATACCCTGGGAGTCAAAGACCATTAAAACAATGGTTGACCTGGTTTTTGTATTGTAAAATCCTTAGTTGATTGGGTAAAGCCTATTAAATTAATGGTTGTTGGAAGCCTAGGGTATAGGTACTCCTGGTGACGGGTCCTAGTTCAGGTCACTGGATACCTCTGTAGGTGACCATGACACTGGTGTGACCAGTGGACTGTGGGGCTCGGTGATTGGCGTTCTCAGATTTCTCAGTGTCACTGTCAGTCTCCAAAACTGAAGTCGACAGGGGGGCCAGGTTGATGGATTTCAGGACTTGGCATGGTGATTTGGTGTTGCTGCCAGGAACATCTTGGCGGCCCGGAAACTGAAGTCGTAGTCATGTGCGTTGTGCTATTGTTGCTTTGATGTTGTGAGAACGATGACAATGTTCTAACACCGATGGCAGAAAATGAATGAATGAAGGAATGATGATTATGTTGATGATGATAATGATGATGATGATGATGATGATGATGATGTTGATTATGATTATGTTGTTGATGATGTTCTCAAACACCAACAAAAGGAATGATGCGATTACTGATGACAAAGAGACCTTCCAGCCTCATGGGATCATGGGACAACAAATTAAATCGAAAGCATCTGACCGACGCACCTGAAGATGCGGATGTTCCAATACAACTTTTACACAGCGCGAATTCGGAGGTTGATCATGGTCCCAAACATTCCGGACGGCATATTTACCCACATTGGGGTGGTTGAACAGGGGTCAATGGGGCGGCATCGCGTGGACTGGTCACCACTTCTTGAGCGAAGGTAGCCATGCGAAGCAGTTGCCACACTCTGGAGTGACCGCCTTTGATGAAAGACTCAGCTGGTTGAAGCCAAGGTCTTCGTGAAAAGGCTTCATCAGCCAAACTTTGCCCCAACACCGATCTGGTCTACCCGATCCCAGATAGAGAAATAATGATTTTTGTTCAATCAAATCTCTGCCAAGTCCCTTCAAAAACTGTTTGCGAACAATCTTGGAGTTTTGACTAATTTTGCTCCCACCGCCATGTGTCTTCAACAAAGAGTGTTTCTGCAGGCAAAGGCCTTCATCGCGAACCTCCTCTTCCGCTTCCTGTGTGGAGCGCACCGGTACTGTTCTGTAATCAAGTGGTTGTGGAGGGATCGAAAAAAAATGAACTTTGAAAATACAAATTTGAATGAATATAAACGTATCCCTGATAGTCAAAGGTCAATAAAATTCGCTAGATGTTCCTCAATCACCACTATCGACTCTATAGAGGAATCCCCAGTGACTTGCAAACGGTCACGTGAGGGATTTGTCAACAGCGTTTCGGGCGTGTGACCAAACTAGATTCGATACAATCAATTAGTGATACAATTCTTGTGCCTAAGCCCCTGTGTCAGACCAGATATACATGCTTAGCCACAACTCCACAGTCCACTGGGAAAGCCCAAAGGCAGTTTTGATAGCCAAGCTTGAGCGGACGCATGAGAAACCAATTTGAAAAAGTGTTTTCAAAGGATGTCCGGCTTAAACATGTTTAACTACTTGAGGTCTTCAGGAGGTAGCAGTGTGATTGTCTATAGATGTATATAACTATAACGTACAAAAGAATAAAGTCTATAATACAGTTAGTAATGAAGGAGAAGGATAGAAGGGACAAACAAATCCGCCCGCACTGAAGGTGCTGAGGGGGGTGATTGGGTTGGAACGCGCTCATCGCTCTATAGTTTTACCATGCTTTAGCTGGGGGTGCCTTTCTTGTTTGGGGACGGAAATGCTTATCCTGCATCTGGGAGAATAGTCCGGGTCGGAGAAAACATGGAAACACACATGATTTTCACGTATCATCTATGTCTTGTTATACCTCTCGATATTTGATTTGCATCACCATGCTCATGAAACCGCAAACAAATGACCCCTCTCAATAGAATATATTGTATAAATATATATATATATCCCACTGTTGCATCAAATGCATGAACTGTTTGCACTTACTTGTATCTCTCATTTTTGAATCATGTGCGTCACCAAGGCGCCGTAGAGGCCAACAAACAACTCCTTTCAACAGTCTATGTCACAATATCTTTATCTATATATACACATGTTTGTCATTATTGCATCATATACATCAGCTGGTTGCAATTGTAATCTCTATTGTACATAATCACTCTATTTTTTCAATGCCCTGGAACCTGTAGAGACCAGCTTCTATCCAATGCCTGCAACAGTAATACAAATACATTGGACCACCTGAAAAAGTACCATTTCAGGGGGTCGAAAG